TGACAAAGGCTTGATCTCCAGAATATATAAGCAGCTCATATGACTTAATAAGAAAAACAAACAACCCAATCCAAAAATGGGCAGAAGACCTAAACAAGCAATTCTCCAAGGAAGAAATACAAATGATCAATAGGCATATGAAAAAATGCTCAATATCACTAATTATCAGAGAAACGCAAATCAAAACTACCATGAGGTATCACCTCACACCAGTCAGAATGGCCATCATTCAAAAGTCCACAAATGACAAATGCTGGAGAGGCTGTGGAGAAAAGGGAACCCTCTTACACTGCTGGTGGGAATGCAGTTTGGTGCAGCCACTGTGGAAAACACTATGGAGATTTCTCAAAAGACTAGGAATAGACTTATCACAGGACCCAGGAATCCCACTCCTGGGCATATATCCAGAAGGAACCCTACTTCAAAATGACACCTGCACCCCAATGTTCATAGCATTTACAATAGCCAAGACATGGAAACAGCCTAAATGTCCATCAACGATGACTGGATAAAGAAGAGCTGGTATATTTATACAATGGGATACTATTCAGTCATAAAAACCGACAACATAACGCCATTTGCAGCAACACGGATGTTCCTGGAGAATGTCACTCTAAGTGAAGTAAGCCAGAAAGAGAGAAAAATAACATATGAGATCGCTTATATGCAGAATCTAAAAAACAAAACAATACATAAATACAAAACAGAAACAGACTCACAGACACAGAATATAAACTTGTGGTTGCCAGAGGCACAGGGGGTGGGAAGGGATAGACTGGGATTTCAAAATGTAGAATAGATAAACAAGATTGTACTGTGTAGCACAGGGAAATACATACAGGATCTTCTGGTGGCTCACAGTGAAAGAGAATGTGACAATGAATGTATGTATGTTCATGTATAATTGAAAAATTGTGCTCTACACTGGAGTTTGACACAACATTGTAAAATGACTATAACGCAATAAAAAAAAGTTAAAAAAAAGAAATAACAAAATTAGTACATAATTATATAATCATCTATAAAGTAATTATTTAGCACAAAATCCTAAAAGTTTATATAACAAATATACAACTGAAGAGCTATAAGGAAAGAAATGTATAAAATAAATACCTAAGGAAAAAACAGTGGAGCTACACAAAATATAGAAATCATATATCTATGACATATTTGCTTATGGCTCTATTTTGTGTATTATTTTTAACACAGAAGTTTAATTTGACTCATTTTCTATCTTATTGGTATCAGACTGCTAAACCACTAATAATCCTAATACTGAGGGTGTAGAAACTCCATGAGGATAAAAGGTAACCTTACATCAGGTAGCTTTTCTACAACCATAGGTATGGTACAAAAATATGTTCGTAATATACTTAGAAATTATTAAGAAATAACATAGAGGTAAAGAATGATATCAAGAAATTCTAGTTAAAAACAGTAGAGTGAAGTTAGATCAAAGAATCTCCTTTCCAATACCTAATAAAATGAAGGGGGAAAAATGTACTGGTTAAGTGCTAGTACTAACACCAAATTTAAAACATAGTGACTCAGAGTATCCTCATCTTTCTCCTCTTCTTACTTGGACGGAGTAGAAATCACTGATGAGAGAGGTACAAAATGGTGGAAATAAACAATTACAGCAACTTTCTGACAAACATAAAGATTCCAGCATACTATGCTGAATTAGGTAACAACGTGAAACCTAACACAATCCTGTTATAGAAGCAGGACAGAACGGCCATATAATGGCCACTACAAGTGCCTGTTTTAGAGTTCATTCTAATAAAAATCTCAGAACCACAAAGACTAATCATTCCAGATGAGGTTCCTACTTTCTCCCTCATCCTCTGACTAAAAGTGAGTATAATAAAAAAAAACCTGCTCTCATATGGTTTCTCTTTGGGGTCACAGATAAAGTATGAAGTTAGTGAAGGGAGATTTAGTAACACTACATCAGAGAAAAGAGAACATCATCAGGTCAGGGTTGCCCACATAAAGCCCTAGCAACATGTGGAAAAGAGCACAGTGATTATGCAAACACATACAGAAAATAAAAAAACACAATCACAACATAAAAAGGGAAAAAAAATCAGAGAACCCATTCAAGAAAAGAATACACAACCAAGTTGTCCTTCAGGTATAAAGACTATAGACATGACTCCTAAAGATGCCAAACACAGAAAACATGGTGCTAAAAAGCCTTTTTTTGAAAAGTTCTTCATGGTAAAATCTAGCCAGTTAAGGATAAGCCAAAATAAAGAACTCAAAAATGGAGAAGCTATGATACAGGAGGGACAAAGGCTTCAAATCCACTGAAATACAGAAATGAGACTAACAAGTGTGATAATTATAATTACAGAACAGCATGTAAATAGAAACCTTGATAATGTGATGATTAAAAAAAGCAAATCTGAAAGCAGGGAATAGGGAGGAGACAGCAAAAGTGAGAATTCTTTTTCTTCAGAGCAGATTAATATATATTGTTTTAAATCAAAACACAAAGTTAAATATTCTGTTAATGTTTTCATAATGCTTTTTCGTAATTTTAGAGAAATATTTTAGGAAATAATACTGCGTAACTGACAAAACATTTATCTAAATTTAAGCAACTATATTTCTCTTATTTTCTTCTGTAAAATTTGGGTAAAATTAGTTTTATATTTTAAACACAGCAGTATAATATGACCCTATTTTTAGAAAATAATATCTGTGAATGCACTCACCCACCCACCTTTTTTTTTATCAGAATGTATGCACAAAAATGTATCCGGAATGACAATCACATAATTTTAATGATGATTATTTTAGGGGGGGTTTGGGTAATTTTTCTACATTTTCCTATGCATTTTTCTGTATTATTTGAATTCTTCATCATGAGTATATATCATCCTTATAAAAACAGCAACATTATTCTTCAAAAAGGAAAGGAAGGAAGAGAGAATGAAAAATATTAGAAACGGAAATAAAATCAGACATTTTCAAGGTTCCCTCCAGTACCAGAATTACAGGAACTTGCTAACAGTTAAGCCACACAGAGAACTGGGGGAAAGGGGAAGCAACATTAAACTGAATTAAAATTCTGAGCTTACTGAAAAGAATTATCAGTTATTATAACTGAAACATAAGCATGTAACAAACATGATGACTTTACCTTTAGCTAGTAAAAATGTGATCCAAGAAACTTTTAGCACCAACATAGAATTATTTCAGTAGATATCCTAGTAAACAAACAGAAAGTAGAAAAAAAAATCACAATGACAGTTTTCCAACTACCTTTTTTTCCTTTTTTAAAATACAAACTGGAGTTGATCACATAATAGAATACAGTCCATTTCAAATGCACAAGTTACACATTAATTTAATCTGCCTGAATTCAGTTAGTGTTTTTACCAAGATATTTATATTTTCCCACAGAGTAGTATATATGTTTTTTTAAAGAAAATATTGACTACTTCAATTCTAATCTAAAAATATGCACAGGAAGTGGTATAATATGACATACTTGGTTTCCAATTAATACCTTTCTGCTCTTTGTTTTCTAATTAAAATCAACACTGTGAACAGAAAAACAGGTTTTTGTGACTCTACCAATTTATACCTTCATAAATTTCATGTCATTCTCTTCCTAGAATTAACAAGTGGAATCAACAGATTGATAGAACTAATAAACATACAATTTCCCTTTGTATCACTCATCTTCAGTATTATCACTTCAATGGGGCAGAAAATCTCATACTACTCATTCTGTTTTCAAAAAAAAAACCTCTAGAGCTCTTACAATAGTATAGTGTTGGAACATGTATCGTACATTTCAAAAGAGTATTTGGAAAATTTAATATAGACTCATATTTATTCTTACACAAAACTACGCTCTGAGTCTTAGTTAATAAAATGCCTGTAATAGAGTCTCAATAAAGATTTCATCAATGAATTTGCATTTTTCTCAGAGTTGGTGAAATGTTACACTGAATCAGCTTCAACCTTACAAGTTCTCCCTTGAAGTAAAAGACATGTATTTCATACCATTTTCTTTCTGAAAAAATAAATAATCTGTACAGGGCTTAAATCTATGAACTTAATATATGAAATAGCATGAAATAATCAAACCAACCCAGAAATCATCAGCATGTTTGGGATTATTCCAGAAAAATCTTTTTAAAAAACCAAAAAGTGAAAATTAACATGCTCTGAAGTACTTACGAACTGCTGGGTTGTGCCAAGTATATAAGTTCACATGTCCTAAAAGGAAGAAATAATTATATTAACATTATGGTTTTGTAAAAAATTACTTTTTAATTTTTTTCATAATTTAGAAATTAATTTTATCATGCTTTATTTATCTTAAGGATACTTTTTTTTAAAGTACAGTATTATAAAACAAAGTTAAAGCAGATTTTTCCGATTTATTTTGACATGACACACATCACTGTAATATCTAATTACAAAAGGATTGGAGTCCACATGTGCATTTGTAACTTGGAAAACATTCTGTAATTGAATCTTGACCTGGTTAGAATCTCAGGTCAGGTCATAAAAGCCTAACTAACTAAGAGTCTCACTGAAATAACACAACTAAAAACTACTATAAAACCTACTTATTTAGGACAATGACTTCTAGAATGGGGGAGTAAGGATCCATGCAGGTCTGGTCCCCGGATCCATGCAGGTCTGGTCCCCGATATAATAACTGGTAAAAGTATTTTAAAAAACCATTTAAGGTCTCTGGAAATTTTCCTAAGGGCATATGGCAAAAAGGGAAACATTTCTTCAAGAAAATCTACTAAATCTTGGTAAGAATAATGACAGACTGTGGAATTCAAAGCAAAAGTCATTTTCTCCTCTCCTCCAACTCAGCATAACAAAGCTCTGCCCCTGGAAAGTGTAGCTAAGACACAGGGCTCCTCTCTCCCCAGCTCCCATCCCAGAACTCTCTCTCTGGGAAGAACAGGCTACCAGCATTTCTGATCAATCCCCGTCCATGCTGCAGTAGGTCTCTCCCAAGCAAGAGAAGCTGAGGGGTCTGCAGCTCCTGTCCTCCACCTATCTCCCATTCATAGGGTAAAGTTTTACTCTGGGCACAACAGATCAAAAATACTGACTTCTCTTGCCCCAGCTGGCTCATAGGACAGAGGTTCCAGCCAAAGGCAATCTGAGAAGACCAGAGGCTATCGCCTCTTCTCAGTGCCCTACTCTAAAACAGAGGTATCACTCCAAGAAAAGCAACTACTGTCCCCACCCAGACCTCCGAAGCCGTGGCACAGAAGTGGTGCCTAGGGAAAGGGAGGCCTTAACAACAGAGAACCTTGAGCTCTCCCCAAGGGAATTAACTATATTTGGATATGTGGGGACATTCAAGGCTAAGAGCACTGTTGAAAGCAATATAGATTTTAGTGGAAGTAAGTAAGAGGAAGCTGACTGACTCATGAAGAGAAAAAAGCTAAACCCTAGATCATTCAGGCAAGAATTAGGGAAAGATAAAGCTAAGAATAGCTCTCCTGGTATCAGAATAAGCCTCAAGGCTGGTCTCCTAGACTACTCCTGCCAAGGGTGCCAAATTTTAATTGGATTAGACTGTGAAGCAATTTGTGACCCAGAGCATTGTCAAAAACAATAAAGCAATCAGTCAACAATTAGTAGGAGGTAACAACTAGGTGTGATATCAGCAGAGGCAGTTAGCTTGACAACAGGGAAAAAGATAGTCAAAGAGAACCCACTAAAACCAATGTCAGCTCAGAGTGACTGTGCACATACCCAAGGCTACATTAAAGAGCAGTATCAGAGGCTATATACATTGTGGGAAAAATAAACCTCACTGAAATGGTATAGCTAAGTCACTAAACAAATAAACAGGAAAACAGCAACAACAGCAATTCTCAGGAGAGAAAAGCTCCCAGAGTTACTACAAGGTTATCAAAAATGTCTAGTTTTCAAAAATAAATATAAAATATGCAAAGAAGCAGGAAAGTATGACTTCTACATAGGGAAAAAAAGCAGTTAATAGAAACTTTATTTAAGAGAACCAAGACGTCAGACTTAACAAAGACTTCAAAGCAGTTATTTTAAATATGTTCAAAGAACTAAAGGAAATCATGCTTAAAGGAGAAAAAGGTATGCTGACAATGTCTCATCCAATAGAGGATATCAATAAAAAGATAGAAATTATTTTAAAAGAACCAAATGGAAATTTGAGTTGAAAAGTATAATAACCAAAATAAAAAATTCACTAGAGGGGCTCAGTGATCTGAGCTGGCAGAAGAATCACTAAACTTGAAGACAGATCAAGAGACTATGTAGTCTAAAGAACAAAGACATAGAAGAAGAAAAAAAAAATGAAGAGGCTCACAGAAATGCTGGACACCAAAAAATACACCAATATATGTATAATGGGAGTACCAGAAGAAAATGGGGAGAGAGAAAGAGAAAAAATACTTCAAAAAATAATAGCTGAAAACTCCCAAATCTACATGTCCAAGAAACACAACAAGCTCCAAGCAGAATGAATGTTAAGAGATCCACACCCAGATATATCGTAGGATAAATGTTGAAAAACAGAAAATCTTGAAAACAGCAAGAGAAAAATGATCCATCTCATACAAAGGAACCCAATAAAATTAACAGATGACTGCTCAACAGAAGCAATGAAGATCAGAAAGCAGTGGGATTACATATTCAAAATGATAAAAGAAAAAAAACGTTAACCAAGAATCATACATACAGCAAAACTATCTTTCAAAAGTGATGGCGAAATAGCTTCAAATAAAAACAGAGCATGTGTTGATAGCAAACTCACCTTACCAAAAATACTAAAAGAAGTTTTTCAGGCTTAAAACAAGCGACCCAAGGCAGTAATTCACATTCACATGAAAAAACAAAGAGCAATGGTAAAGGTAATTATCTTATTATGAGAGATCGTATAACTACATATTTCTTCTCCTTTCTTCTCCTAATTGCTATAAAAAGCAACTGCATAACACAGAATGTATATATTGTATTCTTGGGCCTATAACATATAGAAATGCAATGTATTTGACAACAGCACCACAAAGGAGGTGGGTGGGGTCAAAGCTTTACTGGAGTAAACAAATGACACTAAATAGTAAATCAAATCCACAGAAAGAAATGAAGAGGAGAAGAAATGGTATATTAAAAAGTTGATATAACAAACTCTATTAATATACACTTACGCTCCTTTATACACTCCACTACTTTAAAAGACATATAACCCAAATATCTATAAATAGATGAATGGATAAATAAAATCTGATAGAGTCATACAAATATAATATCACTCCATAATAAAAAGTAATCAAGTATTGAAACATGCTACAACATGGATGAACCATGAAAATATGCTAAGTGAAAGAAGCCAGTCACAAAAAATATGTAGATCAAAAATTTATATAAAGAAACCTACTATGTTATAATAAAAAGCAGACAGTAATCAAGAGGGAATTTTTACAATTATAGAAAAGTTATTTAATGTCAGATGCATTGTTTTATATCATGTTGTAATTTGCTGTAACTCAAAACAGAATGTTACCATACAGTAAAGACAATTACATTCAAATATAAATCTGTGCTGTCTAATATGGTAACCATAATCACCTATGGCTATTGAATACCTGAAATGTGTCTGGCTAGTCCAAATGAAGTCATGCTGCAAATGTAAATTATGCACCAAAATACTCAAAAATACTTAGTATGAGAAAAAGAATATAAAATATCATTAATAACTTTTATATTGGTTTCATGATTTTCTACTGAAATATAATTCACGTAACATAAAATTCATCATTTTTAAGTGTAGAAATTCAGTAGTTTTGGTAAATTCATTTTGTAACCATCACCACTATCTAATTGCAGAATATCTCCATCACCCCAAAAAGAAATCCCACATCTATTAGCAGTTACTTCCCACTCCCTTCACTTCCCATACTGTTTATTAAGCAGTATATGCTACGAGGTGAACTAACCAGTAACATTATCTTTCTTAATTCTTATAATTATCCTGCAAGAAAAGTATTATTATCTATATTTTACAAATTGAAACTGAGATTTAAAGATGTTAATAAACATCTTTCCCTAGCTCAGTGAGCAAGTGACAAAATTAACATTCATACCTAGATCTGTTTAGCATTTTAAAAGTTATCATAATCACTAAAGCACACTGCCATACATACATATAGTCTACCCTGAAATAAACAGGCTTTGGTATCACAGTTAATCTTCCCAATTGCTCTTCAGAAGAAGGTACATGTAAGACAGAAAAAAATCTATCTATCTACTTCAAGGCCAATAAACACCAAAGTATCTCATATAACTAGTCAATAAAAATTCTAAAGCTCTTTTACAAAGTCCTGAGTGAACTTTTAAAGGCCAAATCTGACTATGACACCTCTAGCTTAAAATCAATGACTCTCCATCACCTGCAGTTCAAAGTCCAAGCTCCCTATCAATCTAATCCCTTCCTACTGTTTAGTCATTAGCAGTATCAAAGTAAATTACACTACTGCTGTGGCTTTGTACACATTTCTCTCTGCCTTTCTCTGTGCCTAGGATGCTCAGTCCCAGTTCCTACACACTTTGCTTGGTGAGTTTCTATTTACCCTTTAACTCCTACTCAGACATTGCCTCCTTCCATAGTTTTTTCACCCCAGAATTATTCTTCTCACCCTTAAAAACATACAGTATTTTGCCCACTATATAATTTCTACTTCTTACAAATAATCCTCTACAATAGAGCATCAAATGATTATTGCACTTAATTTTATTAAAAAATATAATTTATTTATTTACTATAAGCTTCTTGATGATCATAGTGTCATATGATTTTGCACCCCCAGGATCTATCATACAGTGGGTACTAACAGTCACTTCGTTAATGCTTGTTGTAGTTTAATTTATTTGCAGTGAAACAGCTAAAAGTATAGTTTCTTGAAGTATATTCCAAAAAACACTACTTCTTCTAAACCGCCATTGGGAATACAAGTCACAGCTTAGCAGTATAGGTCACATATATCTTCCACTCCCAACATGTTTTCTCTTTCTAAACATAATAGCCCTATCAGGAAGAATTTTAAATTTAGGTCACTCTTTTCATTCAGAACTACAGGTCTTCTGGCAGAGAAGGCTAAAGTGGAAACTAAGCTTTAAGTTTATTAAAACGGATGAGAAACATGAGTAAAACAAGTAATTTTGTAGGAAACATTCAGAATGTATATGATTGGACAAATAAGAAAGTTAAGACTATTATGGGGACAAATCAAATCATGAACAATGACATGAAAAAGAAGGGTGTAATACTAATAACATTTGTACTTTACCTTTCTAATTTGCTGTAGAGTGCACACAGTACATTATACTTCTTCAATAGTCTTGACATAGCATTATCAACTTTGGTACTGGTATCAATTTCTTTTAGTAAGTCAAAGAATTTATAGACACTACAAAGGAAAGAAGAGAAAAAAATGAATCCATAACTTAAAAAATTCACTTTGTTTCATTTTCAAAGAATAGATATTTCAATATAAAAGACTGTTAGCCCTACACCAAATCACTATTACATCCTTTGGAAGGTATTAATTTTTGCATTTTATCAGAATTTAAAAAAGAAAAAAAGCCTTAAACCTATACCCCTGAATCTACATACCTATGCCTCTTCCACCTACTTATCATCAAGACTATAGAAAAAAAAATAAAGGTTATTACAGACACACACATATATTTCTCCCATTTTTAACCAGTAAAATAGTTTTATTTAATTTTTTAAAAGGTATCAATGTGAAAATTTCCCAAAGCTGGGAATAACAGTCTAGAGCCCTTATATTTATTTCTATATCTATATGTTTTAAAATCGTTAAGTTCACATCCATTCATCCAATTCCAACACAAAACCACATGGTTCATTCCAGTGTTTCCCTTTCCATATTTATAACTCTTCCTTGACAGTGAGAAACTTGGGATCCAGATATCTTTAATTTACTTATTTAGTCAATCCCCTGGATGTAACCACTTTCCATCTCCCAAGCTACCAATTCCCCTACGTGAGTGTCCTCTTCTCTTGCTCAGACTGACTTCCCATCCCCGACTGTCCCCACCCATCCACATGGATACCTTCCTCACCCTGGTAGGGCTCTGACTCCTTATTCCAGACTGCCCTTACCTCATATGTGCCATGACTTCCTATACCAGCTGCCCACACACCCTGACTGGGCACTGACATTGCACACCAAGCAGCCTGTGTCAAGAAGCATGCCCCCCACTCTGCCCGGGTAGATGACCTCCTCATCCCACTTTGGCTCTAACATCCTTCTCTGAGCCCCATGGCTCTACCCCACCACAGATGCACACACCTACTTTCTGCACCCCACCAATCATCCAGGACTGAATTGTTGGGGAAGAGAAAAAGAAAACTGATTAAAAATTTTAAGTTGTTTAAATAATAACTCTAAATTATTCTTTATTGGTTTCTATAAAAATTAGCCTTTCTGAAATATTAATACATATACTGTTCACTACTGAAAAATAGGGCAATAGAGATAGAAATCATCAACTGCACCATCCACTCTCGTTTCTAATCAAGTCTGTCTAAGGAATTATATCAAAGCAGCTAACCATACTATGGAGGAGTCACCAGATCCATCTATAGGCTGCCTCACAACCTGTAACCTGAGTTATAGTCTTCATTCCAAAAAGTGGGCTGCACCACTCAGACATCTATCCCGAGAACCGGAAAAATAAAAGCTTCAGCTACTTAGTAGTGGGCAGGAACACAAAAGAAGGTTATGAAAAGTTCTACTGATATAGAAGAGATTGGGGTAGCCACGACAAGCTTTGTGGAAAGGCAAATAAAGGGAGAATAGAAGTGATACAGAGTAGGCAGTCAGGATGTTGCATGAAAAGAGCCAATGTGCAGAGAAAAAAAGAGGAAGAAATCAACCTTAGGACGGCGTTTATTCCAGAACCACTCTCACTGCCAGTTTTTACAAGACACATGGTCATAACTACCTACAGAGCACCGTGAAAACTGTGAATTGTTAATACAAAGCCTTTTTTCCTAGGGATAACTTGAGTCTCTATTCCTTCTGTAGCCCTCCTCTGAAGGAAAAAGAGGGCAGGAAGCTGAGAGGGAAGGAAGGCAGGCAGACAGGCATAAAAAGCCCTAATTAAGACACACAGATCTGAGGGTAACTACGTACTCTACAGCAACGCTCCCTGGATTGTTACTGGTCTGTAAACTGTTCACCAGTCCACAATTAAGTACAGAGACTGAGAGTCGCACTTGAAAACTATTATCGCAATTTGACACTAATTTTATGCCTGCTGAATCTAATAATACAAAATTTGGTCCTATGTCTAGTATGATTTTATTTCATTTTTCTAGTAATTAATTTACATTACATTTAAAAAAAAATCCATCCATGATATATTAGAAAGAAACCAGTCCTTCACTGGAGCATATTTAAGAAGCAGTGGTCTAGAAAACATTCCTGGATAGTTATCAGAACACTGAGAAACACCCTAAGAAAAGTTGTACCAAATATATTACTAAATTTATTATAATGATATTATTTACATTTTATAAATGCAGTGCTGCTTTACAAAATATAGTGATATTACGTCCATTTTATAAATCAGTGCTGCTCTACACTCAGGGAAAAGTTTAGGAAAACCTTTACCAGAAAAATTCTTTCATCTTATAGATAAAAGATACAGATAGAACCTAGTAGAGTATCATAGTGCCTAACAGTTGGTAAGTTTTGTTTCCTTCCCCTTTTTTCTGGGCTGGGCAGGTGGGGAAAAAGGGTGTGTGAGGAGCCTAAAGAGAAAAAAGAGATGAAGACCTCACCAGGGCCTACGTTGTTACAGACACTGACTCTATGAACTGTCTATTTCTCTATTCACTGTAAATTATTTAATTCTCATAATTCTGTGAAGTAGGTAATAATTTTCGTTTCATAGATTAGGAACCTGGGGCTTAATTAGAAGAAGCAATCTGCCCCATGTCATATACCTTGTAAAATAAACCCAGTCTATCTTAAACCAAATATCCATACTCTTTCCAATCTTCTGAGGCCACTACAACATTTCCTGAATGAATGAATAAATTAATGTAGAATTTACTTACATACTTAGGTTATTTTTCAGCTATATAGAAAGAGGTAAATGAATTCTAATTCAGTAAGTTAAAAATACAAACACCAAGGCCTTTGTTTCCACATTTTATTTAGAGGTAGTAAGGAAAAGTGTTACCAAAAAATGCAACAATTTAATTTATCTCATTTACACAAAACCCTAATTATGTTCAATTTTAGATGGCTTTATCCAAAAACATACAGGTACTACTATCTTTTTGGTAAAAGTATTTATTTAATCTTACATTTTGTAAACACGCTGGAAAAGAAATGACTGGAGGTCCCAGAAGGCTCTTCTGAGTTGTTACAAACAAATTAGTAAACTCTTATGAGGCTTATAAGCTCAATACAGATATTATTTAAGTAATAACTGGGGCAAGTATTGTAGTGGATACTCAACTGAATATACAGTCTCAAAAAGTAAATAATTATAATATCTGTTATATTCAACAACCTTAAAATTTAATAAATCTTTATAATTCCTTTAAGATAGACTGACACTACTTTTACAAAGAAGTTTTAATATATAATAAGCCTACTTCATAAATCCTTGCTTTTCTTGTCCACTTTATCAACAGCTACAATTAAGAAAGTTTACAGATAGTGAGAGACATAATGAAAATTTTCCCAGGATACAAATTGCTACATTTTTTTAAGAAAGTGCAGCATAAATACACCTTCATTAAGGCCTCCAATGGAGAACAAGAGTTCACTAGTTGACCTAAATGTCTGTGTTTTATTTAATTTTAGCATTTCTAATTCCCTAAAGTCTATTAAAATAAAAGTTCAGAAATAGTTTTCTTTAATGGCAGAGGCCTATACTGATGTAAGAAATTTTACCTGGTTTCTATGCTTTTCTGCAGCTCAGTGAAAGTGAATGGCATCTCATCTAGGTCAACTGCCGCAATAAAGATACAGATTCCCCATAGTTCCTTTTTCTTTTGAATATAACCTTCCTGGGAACAAAAAAAAAAGGTTCAAATATTCATTAAATCATTCACATATGGGATACTGTGTTAAAACTGTATTATATGCAACTTTTTTTCTTATTCAGCATAACAAAATAAATCTGTTTTTAAATCTGTACTAGGGCATATAGTTAAGAGCATTTAATTCTATACTAAAGGAACCCTTAAAGTTCATATTGTAAGGCCAAAAAAAAATTACTAGAAGGATCAAACAGTTAAATTACAACTTACTATAAAAAACCTAGGGGTCAGTCAGTTCTTTGAAGTAAGTATTTCCACTTTTCAAAAATCCAGCATCTTCAAAGTCAAGTTAAAAGATTTTAGACTCCGTAACATAAATTGCTTAAAAAAAAAAAAAAGCCTAATTTCTTATTTGATTGGCCTCTTTAGCTTTAATTCACTTGTTCTTTTATCAATCTATTAATTAATCTTTTCTAAACGTATGAAATTCTTATCTCTCAGTGCTATAATTGCTTTCCTTGTAAACTGAAAATTATAATACATATCTCACTTTGTAAGAATTAAATGAGGTTATATGTATAAAGCCCTTGGCATAATGCCTGGTGTATAATCAGTATTCAGTGAATGATGGCTATCACTATCATTAGAATATTTTTTTCATTATCATTAGAATACTGTTTCCCCTAAAAATATATATCCCTAAATATGTAAGTTTTGTAGGTAAAACGTGGATTATATTAAATTGAAAACAAAAGAAATACCAAATTATCTGACATTCTATTAAACAGCGAGAACTATTTGCTTACTCTTAATTGCAAATTACAATAGAGCTGAAAATTATGTAATGAAATTTTACATTGTTTGGAAATCTCAATTATATAAAAGTTTTAGGAAAAAAAGGATTATTCTAGATTATCAAATTTTATGGATAATACAAAGCTTATCACTATGCAACTTAAACTATTCCTTTATCTTAGCTACTTGGGAAATAAATATTTTTAAACTTATATTACAACCATACACCCATTAGAATTGTTAAAATTAAAAAGACTGACAATCAAGGGTTGATAAAAAAATAATGGAACACTCAAACATTGCTGATGGAAATGTAAAATTGTAAAACCATTTTGAAAAAGAAGTTTGGCAAGTTTTTATAAAGTTATAAAAGTTCCCATAACACTTATTAGATATTTACATCCAAGAGAAATGGAAACTTCATACTTAAATACTAATAGCAGCTTCATTCATAAAAACCAAACACTGAAACGATCCAATATCCAAAACCACGTAAAAAGATAAATTGTGGTATATCCATACACTGAAGTGTTATTTAACAATAAAAAGGAAAAATACTAATAAACACAACATAGATAAATCTCAAAGTTATTACACTGAGAAAAAGAAGCCAAACACAAAAGGGTAAGGTACATGCTGTGTGATTCCTCTTGAATGAAATTCTAGGAAAGACAAAAACTAATCTTTCATGTCACAAAGTAGATCAGTGGCTGCCTGGGGACAGGAGTGGTGGTATTGGAGAATGACTACAAAAGAGAAGGAGAAAATTTTCTGGAGTAATAAAAAATTTCTATACCTTAATGGTGGTAATTACATGGTTAAATAACATTTGTAAAAAGTTACTGTTCATTTAAAACTGGTTGATTTTAGTGTATGCAAATTATACCTCAAAAAATTTGACTCTGAAACTATACTATCTCTGAAACTGAACATACAAAATATATGTTGCTTGACTGTTACAATGACTACGAAGTATGTTTTAATAAAATGAATGAACATAAACTCATATATGTATTTACATTAATATTGTCAATTTCTCAGGAATTACTAAGATGTAAAATGTTGTTTGTCTCTATAATAAACAACCTCCAAACTAACATGCTATTTGAATTTTTATGCTTAGTTCTTATTATGTCATGTCTTATTTTGGTTTGCTTTTTTGCTCTCAAGCTATCACCTGTTGGACCTAACTTCTCTCAGTGTGTTTTCTTTCAGCAATTCCAGTCTTTTTTTTTTTCTTAACATTTTTAAAGTTGGGAAATGAAGTATTAAGCTTGTTAAAATTGAGTATGTTGTTTATTCATTTTTTTGAAATAGAAAATTATATTACGACATAGTCAACACAATTCAACACAAGTTCATCTGAAATGATAGAATGCCTAAATAAAATGTTGTATACATAGGTTCTGATCTTTAAGAACCTGACGAACTTTCCTTAAGTAAAATGAGTGGCCTTTATTTCAGAAGATTTACAAATTGTGTTGATTTTGTTGTTGATATTGTTGTTGTTCTAGCTGCATGCCAATTAACTATATATTTAGATAAAATGGACTTTCTTCTTTACATACATTTATATATGGTAGAAAAATAAATGTTCCTTCTAAACTTGAAACTATTAAATATTAAATATTTTAATCATCTATATTTGATTTAGTTAGAGGGAACCAGATTACAGATGAGATCAATGTTATAAAACTAAATGATTCATGCAAAAACAAACATTTTTGTTTATAGAAAGAAAATGACCAGTTTCCAACTAAAAGATCCCTAGAAATAGAATTTCTAAAGTATTTAAGGTTCTAGATATAGACATACATACAGATACAGGTACAGACATGGAAAGAGCTTGCATTTTAGTTGTAACCAATAACATCCACTTGGTCTGATCTTATATCTGAATGCCACTAAGATTTGCTGGAGGGAAAAAATTTACAAAGCCATGAAGATTACAATCAACTACAAAATCCTACTCTACAATCATTTTGTTCACTTTCTAAAACAGTAGATTTTATTGGAGCACAAATAATATAATTCAACACAATCATCTGATGTGATAAATGTCTAAATGGAAAACATCAGTCTAACCAACATATTTGCAATCATTTAAAAATCACGTTTTTTTAATCTTCACATAGTTTTCTTTGCATTTTCCATTTGTTTATGTCTTCCAAAATTTGAGACCTCTAATAATTTTTCAAGAAATATTCATCATGCAACTGCTATGGTTTTATGGCTTTTGGGGATACAGTAGTAAAACAAAAAGCTACCTGTCTCCCTGGGACTTAGACTATTATTTACTTCAGAACATGAATTTTGGTGTCAAACATTCAAGAGTTTGAATACACACTCTAGTTGTTTAACTATGAGCAACTTGCTTAAATCTAATTAAGCCTCAGTTTCTACCAGAATACAGATGATAATAGTGTGTAATCAGTGTCACCATGAAAATTAACAGTGAGGATACTCTTAAGTAATCAGCATGGTGCCCAGCACTGGACCCACTGAATCAGAACTAGCAGTATCAGCAGCATTATTATTAGCAGTGAATCTAGCACTCATTCCACTAATTGTCTCAACACCATCCATGAGCCAGCCTTCTCCACACCAAACACGCTCATCCATTCTTGAGCATGCTGAGGAATGCTGGAGTTCTGTGTGTGTGTGTGACCACATAAAAAATCATGTCATTGACCTCCAAACCCTGGCAACCACTGATCTGATTTTAATTCCTTTTCTAGAATGTCATATAAATGGAATTATGCAGTCACTAGCCTTTTTTTCCTGGCTTCTTTCACTTAGCATAATGCTTCTGAGGACTCATCCATATTGTTGTATCTACCAGTATTTATTTCTTCTAATTGCTGAGTAGCACTCCATTGTATGAATATGCCACAATTTGTTTACCTATTCTAACAGTTAAAGACATCTTTATGAATAAGGCTACTAACCCTAGCCTTAAATACACAACCACAGATCTTTAAGTGTATGTATGTTTTCATTTCTCTTGGGTGAATATCTAGTTGGGGAATGCTAAGTTCTACATTAAATGTAAGTTTAAGTTTATAAGAAACTGATAAACTGTCTTCCAAGGTGGCTGTACCATTTTGCATTCCCACCTGAAACAAAAGAGAGTTCTAGTTGCTTCACATCCTCACTAGCACTTAGTTTTTATTTGTTTGTTGTTTTCTGTTTTTTAGACATCCTAGCAGGTATACTGGTACATTTTCACAAGGACTAATGACATTGAGTATTTTTTCAAATCTTACTTAATATCCATATCCCTTCTTTGGTAAAGGGCCTTTTCGAATCTCTTGCCAATTTTCTATGCAGCTGTTTGTCTTATTAAGGTGCAAGAGTTATTTATACATTCTGGATTCAAATTCCTTAACAGAGACCTGTCTTGCAAAAATTTTCACCCAATCCATGGCTTTTCTTTTCATTTTCCTAAGTAGTGTCTTTCAAAGAGCGTAAGTGTTTAATTTTGATGAAGCTCAATTTATTATTTTCTTTTATGGATGATACTTTTGGTGATACTACCTATGAAATCTTTGCTTAACCCAAGGTCACAAAGATTTTCTCCTATGTTGTCTTCTACAAGTTTAGGTCTATGATTCATTTGAATTAATTTTTATAAATGGTGCGAGATAGGGAATAAAGTTCATTTTTTGCATATGGATGTCCAATAGCTCTAACATCATTTGTTGAGAGGAATATCCTTTTTCCACTAAATTATCTTTGTACCTCCAAGTGCAAAAATTGACTATATATGTGTGGATTCTGTTTCTGTATTCTCTGTTCTGTTCTATTGACCTATTTGTTTTTCTTTTCATCAGTATGACAATGTCTTGATTAGTGCAGCTATGTTTTGTTCTTTTGTTCAGTTTTTTCAATCTGTAAAGGTCATTTGATCCACCTCTCATTGTGCAGATTAAGAAATTAAAGACTAGAAAGTTGAGACTGTTCAACACAGCCAGTCAATGCTACAGACCTAAATCCAGGTTTCCTAACACTCAGTACTATTCCATTTATTTAAGAATATTTCCTTGTTATATTTCTACATTGATGTTCCTAACATTTTGACTATTAAAATCCATAATCTCATTCATCACCCCACCAAGGGTCCTGTACTCTTAATTATTTTACTATTCTATACTCTTCATTTCTATTTTATTGAGAAGGTTTAAGGATCAAATGCCAAAAGCCTCAACTATTTTCTCCATATCAAATAATCT